AAGGGAATAGTCTTCGGACTAGCACATGTCTAAAAGGAAACTTCTAAAATTAGGATGCTATTTAAGATGTTGGAAAATGATAGTTGAGAGTGGGGACAATTGAAATACAACCAGCAGCAGAAAAAAAATAAATTATAATTTATGATGGAATTAATGATTTGGTTATCAGCACCACTAATAGTAGCCATTTTAAGGAGTGTTCCCATGGCGCCAGGAAATAAAATCATTGCATCCTTTGTCTAAATTGCTAACATAAAAATTTATTATGAACTTCTACCCCTCACACTCTTACTATAAGAAATATATCACAGTGCTGGTTGTTTTTAAGTTGTGGGATCCTGGAAGATTTTCTCTTCATTTTAATTTTTTTTTAATTTTTCAAATACTTTATGTCAAGAAGTATATATAAGTAGGGGCCCAGAGTACAGTAAAATGTATATTTAGCTTTCATGAGCTCTGGATTCAATCCCCAGGAACTCCTCCCAAAAAATATGCATTATTTTTAAGTTGAAAAAAATCCTTATATTCTTTAAGTAGTTTTAAAGAAATACTTAATTTATAATCTCATACCATAGTAAACTGATTTAATTCTATATATTCTAGCTATTTTTCTTTTCCCCATCATTGACACAGTGAAGAAGAGTATTTATTTAGTCCATGCTTTTATTTAATAGCATATTAAAAATGTTTTCATGTTTTTAGTATTCATAATTATCCTTTTTATAGCTATATAGTACACTTTTGTGGTCAAATACTATAATATAATCATTTATACTTTGGGACATTGAAATTTATATAACTATTTCTGTACAGTGGGCAATAATACAATAAATATTATTGCATTGAACTTTCTTTCTTGAATTATTTTGCAAAGAAAATTTCTCTGGAATAAAATTACAAAATTTCAGATCATAAATTTTTAAGTTTTTATTTATTACTATAAAAATGTGTTCCAATTTATATTGTCACAAGCTCTGTCAAAGTGTAACAAACCCATCTCGACTTTTTATTACTCACTATGATGCTTCTACAAATTACATAGATGTGGGCTGGGGATTTAGCTCAGTGGTGCCGACTCCTGCTTGCAAGTTCAAGGTCCTGAGTTCAATCCTCAGTACAAAAAAAACAAAAACAAATTACAGTTGTAAGTCTATACTTTTCACCTATAGGTTTTTATCACTAGTAATATTGAATACTGATCTCTTTCAGAAGAATACCGTTTCTTTCTTTGCCATCCTGGGATCAAACCCAGCAGGGGCTAGGCAAGCGTTGCACCACTGAGCTAGCACCCCAGCCCCAGTAGTTTCTCTTGACTGACTTACTTGTGCATTTATACCTTGGATCACAAGTCGTTTAAATAAGCACCTTATCATTATAAAATTAAGCCTCTGGAGACCTTTTTAAACATCGTGATGTTTGAGTTCCAGCCTTCGTTTCTTATGTATGCCCTGAGGGTATTCTGGGATGCTGGCATTTTCTAACAGTCCCCATGTCATTCCAACATGCAACCGAGTTAAAACACACTGCTAGTGGTTCAAGAGGTGCCAAAAAAGCCCGGCACAGTGGCACATGTCTGTAGACTCAGTGACTTGCAAGGCTAAGGTGAGAGGATTTCTTGAATTGAGTTGGGGCCCCCATTTCCAAACTAGAGGGAGGAGAGAGAGAGAGAGAGAGAGAGAGAGATCAAAAGGAATCTGATCCTTAACAGGAGATGTCTACAAGAAATAGAAACTACTTATCTTCCATAAATACCTACATTGTAATGACAAATTTTATAAGAGAAACAAAAAAAAATGATCTTTGGACATAGAAATTTCTCAAATATTTTCTTTACCATCTTTTCCCTTTACCACCTAAGCGCCAAGCAGTTCTTTTCAAACAGCATGAAAAGTAGCAATTTTATTGAGTGGCTTTCCAAATTTTATTTTAGATTTTCCAAAATTTAGGAAAATAACATATTTGGAAGCAAATCAAGAACACTACTAATTAACAGGAAATGGGACTCAGGGGGTGAGCTCAGTGGATGAGTGCTTTCCTAGCATGCCGGGGTCCTGGGTTCCAGCTCTAACACCACACACACAACAGGACTGTTGAATGTAGGCCTAGAACAAGCAAGTTAAAAGTGCTATTAAAAAAACTGCCCAATAAGATGTGTTGGAATATAACATAATTGGTGTGTGTTTCTTCTGTCCAGCCCTGTTCCCAAACGGAATGGACAGACTGACTCTTTTGAGGGCACGGGTTCTGGCTGAGGGAGTACAGCATTAAGCTGGGAAGTAACTGCCTTGTGGCCCTTTGGGATCTCCCCAGTTCCACTTGCAGTCAGTTGTGGATGTTAGCTTCATTGTCTTCACTTTGGTGCTATTGTGACAGTACACACCTGCTGCAAAAATAGTTTTACATTAACATCAAAATCAAGAACCCTGCATTTTATGCTGTTCAACTGCTCAATCTTTATCATCATACTATAGTTGGTTACACTGTGTTTTCAAACAGAGACATCAGTATTAACACTGCAGGATCTGCCTTCCAGGTACCCCGTTGGAGCGCCCCTGATTTTTGAGGTATAAGATGGGACTATCAGAAGTACCTCTTACTATTTCAGATGTGGTAAAGCAGTAATATGCCTCCACTGTGAGGACAGCATGAGCTGTTCTGGGGAATCCTGATAAAATGTGTACTGTATTCAATATTTCTTTGGGGGACCTGATGTCTGGGAATCTCAGAACTCCATAATGGCAGGTGGTGGCTGTGGCTCTGACAGCCACCCAGCCTGTATGTGAGCCCTCCTCTGCCTATCTTCCTCTTGGCCCCCTCACATGCTGTCCTGGAAGTTCGGGATACAAGTGTTTCCGGGGATCCGGTGGGGCGTGGATGGATCTGCACATGGCTTTGGTGACCACACTGCCCCACAGTGGAGCATCTGTCAGTGCTGTGAGACACTTACTGGGGTGCACACAGCCCTGTGAAGGAAAATGAAATGCAGGTGACAGGAAGCCAGGTGCCAGCAAGAGACAAGAAGGACAAATCCAGAAGGGGTCAGAGGTGAAATTTAAGATCAAGCTGCTCCAGAACCCAACTACATGGGTTTAAATTCTGGTTCTGTCACTTCCTCTCCATGTCTCCTTGGCCAGCTTCTTAGCCTTCTGTGTCTCGCTTCCACAGTCTGTAAAACAGGGTATAATAATAGCACATAACTCAGGGGGGTTTTCTAGCAATTAATTAAAGTTCTTGGCACATAATTAGAGTTCTCTAAAAAGTCCCCATTACTATTACTGTCCTGGAGTGAAGAATTGGAAATCATAAAGAAGTTTCCCCAAATGTGTTAGTTTCCTAGGTTACCACAAATAGGGTGACTTACAGGAATGGAAATACATTGTCCCAGAGCTCAGGAGTCCAGAAGTCCAAAATCAAGGTAGTCTCAGGGTTGGTTCCTTCTGGTGACTCTGGAAGAGAAACCATCCTTAGCTTCTTGGGGTGTCAGCAATCCTGGGGGTCCCTTGGCTTGTAAATATGTCACTCCATTCCTTGCATCCATATCCCTTGGTCTGACTCTACTTTTCTGTGTCTTATAAAGACAATTTCATTGTATTTAGGGTCCATGCTATCATACTGGTGATTAACTTTCAACATATGAATTCAGTGAGATAAATTCAGATAATCGTTCAATTCCTATCATTATTGTGAGCTGGTAGTTCTATCTCTCCCCCTTTCTAGGCTTGAGGGCAAGAAGGACAAAGGGACCATAATGAAGAATTGAGAAAACTCATCTTTATATCCTGTCATCTCTTACTCCCACCATCACCTCGACTCCAGCAGAGTAAATGTTACGGGAATTAAATAGCACACCACCTGCATTCTAAATACAAGTTCTGTCTCAATGGACAAATCTCCAATAACATTTTGGACTTTGAATCCAATATGGACAGCATAGCAAGGTCTCTCCCTTTCATGGCTTGGCGAATGGATACTGTATGGAGCAGAGCGCACACAAAGTGGCACTAGTCCTTTTGCATATGTCACCATGTAGCCCATCTCTCTTGAGTGCAATTTTATTACTTTATTTACTTTGCATTACAAGGTTAATACATGTTCATTGCAGAAATGCTATGAACTATAGCCAAATGAAAAAAATTAAATCATTCTTAATTGCAGATAGACATATAGATTTTAACACTCTACTGTGACATGTTCCCAGACGTTAGTCTTCGATACCATTTTTAACAACCTTCTAACGGTCCATTATATAACCCTCCCAATAATCACTTACTCCAGCCCCCTTTACAGGAATTTTAACTTGTTTTTCACATTTTGTTGCTGAAAAAAATGCAAAGATAGGCATGTATTCTGTATTAATTTTATAAATTCTTAATATGTGGTATTTATTGTAACCCTGTCCCTTCTCCAAATGTTACAATGAACCTAGAAGTACCTTAGCTTGGTTTCTGAGGAACTGATTTTCTTATCCAGTCTGAAAATCTACTCTCAGCTTGGTTAGATTATCTTAAGCAAGTTCTCTCCTGGGCCACCGCCACCTGTGTCCCTTAACTAGTAAGTAGGCTGCATTCTTGAGTCTGGCTGCTTGGCTTATTTGTTCAGGGCTTAGGGCTAATGAGGTCAGTGTCATGGGACTTGAGCTCTCTATGCACAGACCAGTTAAGTAAGTGTCCAAAGAGTGTTTCCCTGACTCCAGACATCTGCTATTGAAGGCTGGCTATTAATTTCCAAAGAAATGGGCAAGAGAATATGGACAGATCAACACAAATCTCTCACCACTATCTTCCCCATGGAAAACAGCTCAAAGAAGAATTTAAGTCAGTCACATAAAACTGGTGAGGTTAGAGAAAGGAGAAGAATAATATTGGGGAAATAATTGGTTAACTTTGTGTGTGCCTTGCTGAGGAGCTCAGTCTACGAATGCCCACTGTCCCTGTGTGACTCAAATTTGGCAGAAGGTTTGAATTGCTCTTGCTGGTGCTAATGGGTGTTTGCCCTTGCAGCTGACACAGCGCTTGGCACTGATGACGTGTATGATGAGAAAGGATGCCAGTGTGATGTATCTGTAGAAGACCTCACCCCACCACTTAAAACTGTCATCCGAGCCATCAGGTTAGTGCAAATCTTGAACAAAATTAGTAAGAGATGCACCTCGGATTATTCAGACTACTGTGTTACCAAATTCTTTTTATAGCAGGTGAATCTTCTGGAATAATCCTTTTCCTGTTCCTATTCATCGACATGCCTATAAAATGATAAAATGATTTGTCTTAATGCCACACTCTACTGTATTCAGCACAGAATCTCTTCTAAAGGATTTGAAAAGTCATGCCATACTGGAGAGATTACATGAGAATTGGTATGCTGTGTGTGTTTGTTGCTGTAAGGACATTTAGTTTATTGATGCAATGAGACTTTTTACATTAATTTTATGATGATGCTTTAATATATATTCTGTAATTTTTATTAAAGAAAAAAACTCTCAGGGTTAATTTCAAACAGGCGAAGCACTCTGCACTGACTTGGTCCTTCTGAAGTGTAATTATTAATGGTTGATCGTACTATGTTTCCTCAGTTGATGGCAGAGACCTAAGAGAATACCCAAAGACACTTAAATTCATATTTCCAGCACTCTCTCCTCAACTCACAAAAAGAAAGTCAGGATTTGGCATGATCAACCCACCCACTTTAATCTCTTTGGGAAACTTTGCATCTGTTAGCGAATGTGAAGTGATTTTATTGCAAAATTTTTTTTAAAATTCATCTGATCTTTTTTTAACACTTTCTGCCTCTTACCAAAAAAAAAAACAGAGAAAAGCTTAAAATATCCAAACTAACTTAACTATTCAGATGCTTAATCTAACTTTAAATGCCAGTGTGATTGATTATTTACTCCTTTTAGTCTGTCTTTTGGCATCATGTTAGACATGGCATTACTCCATGATTGGGAGTCACTAGGGAAGCAAAAATGAGTTAAAAGACTTAGATAAATGGAGTGGGGGATGGTATAGTGAAAATATGTTTACTCAAGAATGTACTTGATCTGTAGAAATAACCTAAGAAGAAGTTAGCTAAATCCTAGTTCCTCCCCAGTGGAACATCAAATAACAAACCTTCCAGGAGGGAAGACCATACTTTCTTCTTGGCCTGTGCATGCTCAGATTATGCCTCTTCTCTCATGATAATTGTTAACAATACTCACTGCTTTTCACAAGTATCCCAGTTTGAACAACCAATTGTGTGGTCATCCTGCCTCTGAGGAACCTAGAAGCCAAGGTGACACTTCAGCCCAGAAACCCAGAAAGTGTAGTGAAATGATGTCTGAAGCTTTCTGTGAAAGGGATGGGAAGGATCTAGATGTGCAGTATCCAAAACAGTAGCCATTGATCACCTGAGGCTATTTAAATTTGAATTAATTAACTGGAATCCAATTTAAAATTCAGTTATCCATCACATGATCCACATTTCAAATGATCAATAGCCAGCAGTAGCCAGTGATTTCCTACTGGACAAAGAAAAAGGAACATTTATGCCAATGCAGAAAGTGATAGTGAATATTTCTATTCTAGAAGTCACCTTGAGATTATTTGCATACATTGATTATATCCATCAAAGACCCTAAAGTGAAAGTAGGGCAATTCAGCCTGCAAATTAATCTGACTTGCAACAAATATGGAAAAATCTTATCAAGAGGAAGCAGATTACGTTTCCTAAAAGTCATATTTAACTCAGTTTGTGTCATTTCCCAAGACTCTGAAGCTTTCTGCTTTTGCTTCACAACCTATAAAAAGTATTGTAAGTTGCAAGAAAGAAAATGGAATGGGTTTATTCTGCTAGCTAAGCACTTTAGCAACAGTTTAAGATTTACTTTGCACTATGTTCTTGAAACCTGACTGATTTTTGTAAAGTCCTCTGCAGTTCCCTTGCTTTTCAGAATTTCTTCTTTGTCCTTATTTTTAACTGAACTTTATTACTTGCCTCTCTACCCTTTTTGTAGATTTCCAAAGCTTTCTGTGCACTACTTTGTGACACTTCCAAGGGATAATTTTTCTCCCTGTATCCTGATTCTGCTTAGTGGGTCGGTTTTTTTTAACCACTTCCAATTTCCATTTAAAATTATTGAATTCTATAAAATCATGATAGCTACACCAAATAGTTTAATAACTTAATTGGAAGTCTTTCACTCCTAGTAATTCTTAATTTCTAAAGATACATGATTAAAATATCAACTAATACAATTAGCAGTACTGAAAATTTGAGGCATAGGTCCCTAAATCTTAAGAAGTGTTGTGATTATATAAATAAATTCAACATCAGTTGGCTAAAAGGTTTTTTGCAAAATATGCTCACCTCTTGTAATTCACCTGAGTTATTTTGTACGTATATTACTGATTTCCAGTGTGAACCATCTATTTTTTACCTCTGAGAAAGCAACTTGTTTTGACATATTCCTAGTTATTTGAGGGGTGTTAGAATCTTTAAGATAAATATTTGACTATGTCTATTTGTCTACAACTTGTATCCCTGTAGCTCTTACAATAATAACTTCTTCTAAGAGCCAAAATAATATTAAAATGTACAACAGAAAATATGTATTTCATTGCAAGGATGACAGCATGGAAAATAATATTACTCTCACAAAGAGTAAACTAAGAATTCTCATTTTCAGTTATTAATATTTATTAAGCATCTGCCATTTTCTGTTTACTTTTGAGAGTGAAAATTTTCAGGCAATGAGATAACTAAGACCGCTCTGAATTTGCCTGGCATTAATTACCCAAATGCACTTTCAGACTTTTTCCTTAATTAATGATGTCATTTTTAAAAGTACATAGTGAACAATGGCTATTCTTAGACTATTTCTAAAATATGTCTTTCACTCAGAGGAAAACTTAGTTTTGAATATTTTCTCTAGGATTATCACAGATTCTTCACAAATTATCATTTCATGGAAATGCACCAATTTTCTGGAAATATGTTTTCAAACTCACCTTTGGGAGTGGAGAGTGTTCTTTTTTTTTTCTTTTTGGTACTGGGGATCGAACTCAGGACCTTATGCTTGGGAGGCAGGCAGTGGAACCACTGAGCTAAATCCCCAGCCCCTAATGTTCTTATTTTTAATAAAGGCTCTATATCTTGTTAATGATTTAATTCAAACAATTTTAATTTTGTCTTCCTCTATCACGGAAATTAGTTTTTAAATAGAAAGATAAATTGACTGGGAAGTAGAAAATCAATAAACAAGAGTATTCTACATGCTCACTTTTCCTTGCCTCATGGTTGGAGACCAGTTTTCCTATCACTGAGAAACACAGCCCATAAATTACCTAGCTAAGTTCTTTCAAAATATGGAACTTCTGGTGATTTGGGAATTTCTGAATTCTACAAAGTGGAGTGACTCTTAACCTTTCATGCTAGTACTTAGCAGTATAGTCACTATATGAATCTTGGAAAGTTTTTCACGTAAAAATTAATATATGCTTTTAAAAAAATTTTTAATTAATATATGCTTTCTTAGTTTCAAATAATGATTATCTGAAAGTCATAGCCGATGCAGCTATTTATGAAAGAGTACCAGAAAAAAAAACTTCCTAAAATACAAATGCTCTTCCTAATTTCTCCTCAGAGGTGAATGTATCACTCAAAAAATATGCATTGAGCTTCTATTCTGCACTAGGCACAGAGTCAGAAATTAACAAGAGGAGGAGCTCTGCTGAGAGTCAGGAGGGACTCCCAGAAAAGTCGAGTGTTGTGATGCAGAGAAGGGGGCGGCCGTGATGACAGGAATCCAGACTGATCTGGGGAAACACAGTTGAGCACTTACTTGGGAGCAGGAGATGGCACTTGTATGGGCTTTCTGGAGGAAGAGAATAAGAGACCTGAAGAAGGACTAAGCAGAGGAAACTGCAATTGTAAACAGCATAAGGGAAGGTGTCCTTACGAACTCTGTGAGGACCAGGAGAGTAGAGGAAAAGCTGAGGGGAGGAGTGGCACCATTGTCATAGGCAGGAATCCATGGAGGCTTTAAGTAACAGAAGTGAATTTGTCTGCTTGGTGTTCTATTCTAAAGCTTAGATGGATGACTCTGATGACAGAATAAGGAATGCACTGGACAGAGAGGACAAGGTTATAGTATCTGGCTCGTTATGATGGAGAATGGTGAAGGATGCATTTGAGAGCACTTTGGAAATCAAGAGCTATAGGATTTGTATATTGACTGGATGGATAGGATGGAATCAATGAGCAGGAGGAACCATGGATGGTCCTCTGGATGCCTGGTCAGACAGAGGCTGGCCTGAGGGAGATGGTGCATCACTGTAAATATTGAATTCAGAGGTCCCAAGGTGCTCAGCAAGCAGGTTCTGAAGCCCAGGAGATACATGTGGAATGAGACAAACTTGGTAGCCATCAGCACGATGTACATGGTTTATAAAAGTCTCTCCTAAGGAAGTAAAAAGAGAAGACAGTCTACACAGAACTCTATGGCTCACAAATACATGAGGAGCAGCAAGAAAAAACAGGCTGTAAAGGAAGCAACTCAAAGCCAGCAGATAGATGGGAACTGGGACAATGTAGCCAGATAGGAGCCAAGAGAGAAGCACATGTCAAGCCAGAGACAGAGGGTAACTGAGTTAAATGTTGCTAAGAGGTCACGGAAGTAAAGAGTAAGGCTGTCCTTCGAAAGTGCCAAAAAGGAGGGAAAGATAAACAAAACACTTTTTTAAATTATCAGGATCTATCAGGATCTTTCACTCTAACATGAACCCAGATGAAGTGTCAAGAATTTCTTTATCTGAGCAAGATATGGTGGTGCACGCTTGTAATCCCAGCCTTCAGGAGGCTGAGGCAGGAGGATCACTGCAAGTCTGAGCTAGTTTGGGCTACATAGTGAGTTCAAGAACCACATAATGAGACCCTCACTCAAAACAACAAACAAAGAAAGAATTTCCTTTCAACTAGAAAAGACTCGACTCTTTTAAAATAGCTCAGAGCTGATCAGTGAGCCAGAACCCCTGCTGACCTCTCAGGTCTGCCAAGGCAGCTTCTCTGACTGAGAGGTTGAGTTCCCCAGCACCCCTGCCCTGTGTTCCCCCTGAACAGCATGTATGAGA